TCAACTTGAGTATTTGGCAATGTAACCAGTTTTTATTGCTAAGGTTCTGAACAGAAGAATTGTTACTGTTAGTCACTTAATCCAAATTTTACCAAGAAAAAAATGCTGCTATATTTGTGACAAATGATCCCTTTTCATTGCTGTGTTTTCATCTTATAAAAAATCTTGCAAATATCAGCTATGTAGTAGAGAATCACCTAGGGTGAGACGCATTCAAAGAGCAGCAGAATCTTGAACAGCCTGGTCATGTTTTTTTGTCTCTTTATTCTCTGCAGGTTCATTGTTTTGACAACCTCAGCTGGCATCATGGACCACGAGGAGGCCAGACGAAAACACACAGGAGGAAAAATCCTTGGGTTCTTTTTCTAAAACATGTAAAATCAACAAAAACAAATAAACAGTCGAAGACAAGTTGTATGTGTGCTTTGCTTTCTTAATGCATAACATGCTATGTACTCATTCACACACTAGTTAAAGAAGAAAATGTAAACAGTAGGAAACACATGATGCACACTTCCAGTGAAAACAGTTGTTCTGGTTGACACCTCTTGCTTTTGGCTGAAAGTAGTGTAATATTTAATCGTAAATATTGATGCTGTCATAACACAAATTACACAGCAAACAGTGAAATGATGCAGATCTAGTAGGAAAGCTTCAGTTTGCAGAGGCTTTAAAATGTTCCTGCTACAATTTTACGTTTGAGTGTTTTGTCTGTTTGCTGGGAAAAAGCATGTTTATGTGAAACTGAGATTGTGACAAAAGATGCAGTGACTTCAATCACTGGCTCAGTTTTAACTTGTGGCAATATTTCATGTCTGGCAACTGCAAGAGGAATGAAATGAGTGTTAATGGGGTTCACACTGAAATGCACATTCCTTAATGGAGTATTCATAGCTCGTCTTGACTAGACTGGATTGGAGGGTGATTGTCAAAACCGAGCCTGTCTGAGGGGAAAAAGACCTCTTGTACTTGTACTTGGCATGTGAAACAATTGGTACTTGCTTCATTCTTAGGCTGTTTGTAGTTCTAAGTATCTAAGTGTGTGGGGTTTTGATGTTATGACCTATAGATATTAAGCTAGCCACAATAGATTTTCAAAGCTTCGGGAAGTCCTGTCTTTTTCAGTTGTGTTGGAGGAAAAAAAATCTAGAACATTAGTGCTAATCAAGCGCATATCATCATTGACTTTGTGACTCTACATTAGAAACTTGAAATATACTTTAGTGATTGATGAAAAACAATGAATTTAATGAGCAGACTTCATAAAAGCTCACCACTTTTTGCTTGAATGATCTTAAGCGTCGTTATCTTAATTCTGATAAAAAAAAATTTTGTTCTGAGCAATGTCTTGTACATTTGCTCATATTTACCAGCAGGGGGCGCTGTGCAGCTTTGTTTCTTGACATGAGGCTGTCCATGGTCGTGCTTAGAAGGTAACCCTCATTTTGTGACATTCTCATACTGCCTTTCTATGGATTTAGCGTTTGCTGCTCATTATCATTGCCTTGAAACCAAGTACAATCATGTTGCTCTTCTTATGTCCTGATGTAGTGAAATTCAAATGAATGTAATTGCACATAGCCTTGGTTTAACCACTATCACACTATATAAAAAAGCCAGTCAATGCCCCTTTCAAGTACTGATATAATCAATTATACCATTAGTCAAATGATAGTCCTCTAAACAGCAGCATTTTGTTCAACTATCATCTAGACAATGCTATACAATTTTAGCATACTAACATTTTGGAAATAGACAAAAATACAATATTTTTTTAAGGTGCGATATTTGCCACATTAAGCTGTTTTTCAGGGGAATGTTTTTTTTTTTTTACCTAAAAATGTTTCTCTAACCTTATTAAATGTTTCATGTTTAATGTTCTTAAATGTAGAAGGCGTGACTTTTATTCTCGCTGTAGTATTGTTGCTGCCACCGCCGCCATGTCGTGAAGGCGAAACTACTTTCTTTGGTCTTCCAAAAGAGGACGATATCTGCTTCGTCATGCCTAGAGCTGATCCGTGCTGGTCGCTGAGGCAATACATCAACTTTGCTCTGTGGA